TTTTTCATTTCCCTCACAAAGTTTGATTTCATTCATAATTCTGTATCTCATGGCAGGCAAATCTCGTAGACATTGTAAGTACAAAATATTATTATCCATTATAATCTAGGAAAGTTAAATCTGAAATTAGATTTGTTTTAAAAATACTATTGAACATGGATATGGGAAAATAATATTCACTTTTAGTTAACCTCAAATTCTAAAATATGTTAAATTAGGTTATAAGTATGTTAACTTGCAAAGAGCACATTGTACGAAAGAAAATGGTAATTGAAATTTATATTTAGAATAGTTATATTAGTAATATTTATGCATTTGTATATTTTTTTTACAGACGAGTTCCTGTATTAAAATAGAGCTCTACGGAAGGCCATCATAAAGTAAGACTGTTTCAATTAAATAATTAGGTATTTAGGGCTGAGATACAGAGGTATAATTTAACTAAAGGAAAAGTATATATTTGTTATGATTACATTTATTTTGTTAATAAAATGTCAGTGTTGTACATGAAAATGAAATGGCTTCTTTTTAACTTGGGCTGAATCCTATTGAAGTTATATAGTTCTGTAGTATAAATCATTACATTTATACTTTTATTGGACCTTACGAGTATAATTATTTCCCATTGCTCATTTTACTTGGCTTTGTGCTTGAATTATTAGTATTTTGGTTTATTTTAGAAACTTGATATGACAGTATTTTACTCAAATATAATTACACTTATTCATATAAACATTTGTATGAACTATTTATACTTTTCGATTTACCGTGTTAAAACTACGTTAAAATATAACACACAACATAAAAAATGATTTTTAAGTAAAATCTTTGTGGTACAGTGGAACTGGAATAGGGTTCTCAAAGTTAGTAAAAGTCCTAATTTCTAATCTAATCTAATATATAAAATTCTCGTGTCACAGTGTTTGTCTGCAAACTCCTCCGGAACGACTTCACCGATCGTTATGAAATTTGGTGTGTAAATTCTGTAGGTATGCGAATCGGACGTAAACTATTTCCCGTTTCGAAATTCTTAAAAGGGCTCCGCCCCAGTGGCTCTGAAGTTTCCCATGTTAACCTTATGAGAAATGGAATTAATGAATCTTAACAGCTGTTTCAATTAAACAAGTTGGTTCTGTTCTATGATGTTCAATAGCATTAAAGTTACAAGGATTACCAACAGGGCGCAGCACTATTATTTCTTTTACATTTATGACAACAGCTAATTTGCAACCAAAAGGTGAGTGAGCGTAGCGAACGAACTTCAACCCGGAGGCGAGTGAGCGTAGCGAACGAGCTAACCTGAAGGCAAGTGAGCGCAGCGAACGAGCTCCAACCTAAAGGTGAGTGAGCGTAGCGAACGAGCTCCAACCCAAAGGTGAGTGAGCGTAGCGAACGAACTTCAACCCAAAGGTGAGTGAGCGTAGCGAACGAACTTCAACCAGGACGTGATTGAGCGATGCGAACGAGATCATCTTGAAAATTAAACGTAACGGTACTTTCTTTCCATCGGTCTGTCTTAGGGGAAACCTATAACTTAGGCGATACGAAGTTCGCCGGGTCAGCTAGTAATTAATATAAAATAGAACAAAAAATAGCGACTACGCAAACAAACAAATTAAAAGTGACTGCGTCAAAATCGATATTGTTTTAAAGTTCTCATACCGTCTAAATTGCACAGCGTGCTGGTATATTTCAAGTAAACAGATCAGAAACAGTTTTGACCAGCAATTTCACAAAACATAACATGGAATACATTTTGAACAGCCTATAGAATAAAAGTAATTAAAGGGGATCTCAAAATGGAATCATACCTGTACAAGTTCATAAGATAAAAGTTTAATTAAAAGTTATGGGGTTTCATATTAATTTTCAGTTAGTTTATGTAACTGACTATATTTCCATGATACAGGATGTGTTATACAATATCGTGAAAATCAGTCAATAGCTAATAATTGTAAATTAAAATTAAAATGAAACCTTTGAACTGTAGCTATTTTCTTATAAACTTTTTAATGTATTGTATTTCTCATCCAACTATTGTTAGAGGTTTTTAATGATTCATTGTTGATTGAAATCACATGTGTGAACATAAGAAGACAATTTTCTATGTTATCACTTCTTTCTTTGATCACAATATAACTGAATGTTAATAATAATTTTACTTATTTGCATATTATGTAAGACTGGCATCGTCTAAGTGTTAACGATGCCATAATGTAACCTCTTTGTCACATGTTAAAAGCTAATTTCGCCGCTTTGAGAACTGCAGTTCTAAGTAAAGCTCCCAAACTCACCAGTTAACCCCTGCAGCTTGTTTCGTCTCATAGTGACTGTTAAATATGTATATTCCTGCTTTGACTGCAATGTCAGGGCTGCTTTACCTACAGTAAAACATTACAATAGCTACTAATTTTTTCACTATTAAGGTAGTTCTACATTAAAAGTTGCTTAAACTCTTACAAAATAATGGTGTAAATAATCCAATAGCCTAAGTCAACATTTAATCGATTGGTGTACCAAATTAGTTGAAACGTTGAATATGTCTTCTCTTACTGTTGAGTGACGATTTAATGAATTTTTATCCTTACCATTCGTGTTATTACACATTTTAGACTGTATTTGATAATATTATCGTTCGTAATTAAAACAAAAATCTGTTGGAAATCATACGTAAGTTTGATATTTTTACCTTACAATCAAATTAAACACCACGAGCATTAAGCACCTGGTACTTTGACTAAAATATTTACCATATATGCATACATGTTCTAGCCTGTTCATTACTATACGCGAGTATAGTAGGGGGGTTTCACGTTGTTTTGTGTTTAATCAACAAGAGTTTCAGAAATGCTATTCCAAAACTTCTTATTACGTTCCGGAGTAATTTAAAACAAGGAAGAATTTGCAATCAACAGTTTTAGTATCTCCAACATCAAAGGTCTACATGTATATAGAAGTTTAACCTTATGTACACAATTAACTTAAGTAAAAATGTCCGTAGAAATACAAATATCTCCTCGAAATGATTTTTCTTTAACACATATCATCTGTTTTGATGAAAAAATAACTCTTTGCTTGGATAGCAAATTAATATGATATTTATTTTACGAATTTTCATTGTTTTATTACAGAGAACTTTAACGCTAACTGTTACACCATTGAGGTAAATATACTACAGTAATAATAATGTATTACATCTTTCAAAATAATTTTTAAAAACAATTAATTCCTCATTTTTATCATAATGTTTAGTTTAATTTATTGTAGATATGAAATTTTTAGTCCTTGAAGAATAAAGTAAGTTCATAATAACATTTATGTTCGAAGTAATTTTTAAAAAATTCATCATATTTACATTTTAACTAACAGCGTACCACAATTACTGTAAGATTTATTTAAACAAATATATGAAAACAATGTTGATATTATTATGCAAACCGTGGCTTCCCTGGGAGATTATAACCCAACCCCTAGAGAACTTTTTGATTATAATACATCTTTTACGTGATGTTATTTAAATCTCTCTCCTCTCTCTTTTATAACTCTCTTAATAATTTGTGACAACATAGGGTGTAACAATCAGCCTGAACCTACTTAATTGTTACAACTGTAAACACTATGTTGTGGTTTCGAAAAGTACAACATTACGAAACATTACGGAAAGTAAATCAAAGTTTGTATATTAACACTTAAATCATATACTTTCATTTATAATACACCATTACCCCTTACACCCCTTCTTATTTATTTACCATTCTAGAAGTAAACCGTATTAGTGTAAATACATATTTTAGACGTTAAGTGTAAGCGCGGGAATATGTCAATGGATCATCCAAGTAGTACTCGACTCGGGCTATATAACTAAAAAGCAAGGACATTTGTAGTTCTTATAGCTGGAAGATGGGCGAATAATTAGAAGACAATATGTTGACCAGATGATTCTTCGCAAAATGCCGCAGCACATTAAATAGAAGAGTAGGTGTTAACATATGTTTTATTTACATTTCATTTCTAACATGTGTTCAAATTATTTTTTTGTTTACTTGTTGGATTGTTTATGTTTACTTACAGATTGTGATTTAATAAAAAAAAACTTTCTATTTTCCTATAAAAAAAGTGAACTTTTATAAGTAAAATTTGTGGAATCAACAAGACGTGTTTTTATTTACTTTCCGTGAATCTTGAACGATGCAGAGTTGGTTGTTGTTGACAAATTATAGATTACAATAATGGTTAACTAGTTAAAAATAGTTTTTTTAATTGTTATTTTTTATTATATTACAGTATTATTATTATTCTTTCAAACTAGTCTGTCAAACAATGTTTAAAAAATCGTGTGTTTATTGTATAAACACAGCGAGCTACGAAAGCCAAGCCAGTACAGTCAGACACAACACAGGTGAGTTAAACTCTGCTTCATATTCTATCGGTTTCCTCTTGAAGTGTCGTCACCCTGACGTACCTTCGTTGACACGGTGCTATCCTATACACTGTAACTAAGTCACTACGTCACCCTGACGACTTACACTACGGGAATCGGGAAGTTAATAAGCACTACGGTTTAACACTGTAAAACTGCTAACGACCGAACGGGCCGGAGTTACTCAGGATGGAAGCTGGCTATAACTGAGGTGTAGAGGTGTCGGTTAACATGGACTCATGGGTTGGGGAAGTGGCGTGACCCGATCGTCCAATAGCATTCGTTTATTCAAATATTAACTGGTAGTGGGAAATACAAACGGTTACAGTTCAACGTACATATTTAAATATTGCCAACATAGCCTTGTAAATTATTAAATAGTAAAAACTGTTATATTACTTATATAAATATATTACATTCCTCCCCTTTAAATCTGACCATAAAATGTGACCAATAATTATTTTTCAATTTCAGTATCAGTAAACAGATAGAATATAGACGCTGACAAACAAATACATAAATAAAACAACCTAACAACACACAAACACAACAACCGTTATATGACAACAAAACAAACTAATTATAAATCTATTCTCTCGACTGGTTTCCTAGCTCTCATGGGATAACGTCTCTGTGGTGTAGTGGACGTACGGTGTTGTACAGGTGTACGGTGTACAGCTGGTGGTGAGTTGCGATCAGCTGTTTGTGGAACCATAGAGCGCCGCGGAGTGGTGGGAGAGAGGGACAAGCGCGTACTATGTCCCGGAAGCTCGCGCGTCATAGGACTGACGTCACGCTCAGCTGGTGTACTCTGAACAGCTGGGCGCGCGATGACTGTAGTTGCCGTGGGCCTGTTGTCTGCATCTGATGTCAACACTGGGCCACTGTCGATAGCAATCAGCTGATCAATGTGTCTTTTCCACGTAACACCCGAACTTAACTTAACTATATACATAGTTGGACTTATCTGTCTAACCACACATCCTTCAATCCACTTATCCTTAGATGTATAATCTCTAATCAATACATTTTGGTTTTCAAACAGATATTGAGTCTTACTACCCCTAGCATACATCTTTTGAGCTTGTTGTTGTCTATTTACAGTCTCAGACAAATTAGGTCTGAGGAGGTCTAATCGGGTTCTCAAAGGTCTATTAAACATTAACATAGCAGGTGTCTCATTAGTGGTCATGTGCACAGAATTGCGATAGTCAAAAAGAATTCTACTTAAGGCTACAGAAGTATTTACATTTTCCCTAAATGCACATTTTAACTTTGACTTAGCATACTTAACCGAGTTCTCGGCCTGTCCGTTACTTTGAGCATGGTACGGAGCCGATGTTGTGTGCGGAGGACCGTTGTCACTATGGATTGACTCTGGCAAACCAAACCGTGCAAACAAATCACGAAGGTGATTTATAGTGTGATTGGCTGAAGTCGAACTAGTTTCGAAAACTTCCAGCCACTTTGAATGTGCGTCAACTACTATCAGATACAACTTTCCCTTGAATGGGCCTAAGTGATCTACATGTAACCTAGCCCATGGTCTACTCGGGTAATGCCAATGATGCAATTCGGCTTTACTAGGATTTGGTCTTTCAAGAAGACAGGACGAACAGCTGTTAGCAAGGTTCTCTATGTCTTTGTCTAGACTTGGATACCAAAAATAAGAACGCGCAACAGACTTCATTTTAGTTATGCCCAGATGAGACGCATGAAGTTCATTCAAAACATAACTTCTCAAACTACTAGGAACAATTACCTTGTACCCCCACATCAAAACACCTTGCTCGACAGCTAGTTCCTCCCTCCTCTGATAAAATGGGAACAATTCAAATTCCTCTTTAGGGACAAAATTTGGCCACCCAAACATGACATAGCCTAACACTCTCCGTAATAACGGGTCTTTTTGTGTTTCTACTCTAATTTGATCACATGTCACTGGTACTGAGCTCTCTTTAACAAAGTGTAAATAAGTACCTAACCACAACAATTCGGGTTCCTCGTCTGCTGGGGACACTTTAAGCGGTAACCTAGACAACGCATCGGCGCTATTGTTGTCTGACCTAACATATTTTATGTCAAAATCATACCCTGACAGGAACAGGGCGTATCTCTGTAATCTACTGGCTGCGAACACAGGCAAGCCTTTCTTAGGTCCAAAAATACTAATAAGGGGTTTGTGGTCACTCTTAAGGGTAAAATGCTTCCCGTACAAATACTGGTGGAATTTCTTAACACCATAAACTACAGCTAATGCCTCCTTATCAATTTGTGAATAGTTTTGCTCTGCTTGGTTCAATGTACGTGATGCAAAACTTACTGGTTTTTCAGTACCATCTTTGTCTATAATACTGAGAATACAACCTAGACCATAGTTACTTGCATCTACTGTTAGTATTACTGGTGCTTGGGGGTCATAGTGTGCTAGCACAGGAGCCGTACACAATAGCTCTTTAACTTTCTTAAACGATTTCATACACTCGTCACCAAAACAAAATTCTACATCTTTCTTCAAAAGGTCATACAAACGTCTCAAAACACCCGCAATATTGGGGACAAACTTAGAATAATAGTTGACTAGACCCACAAATGATTTTACTTCTGTCACATTTCTCGGTACAGGGGCATCGACAATCGCTTTTATCTTGGCTTGCGAGGTGTGAAGCCCATGTTTGTCTATAGTAAACCCCAAAAACTCAAATTTTGATGCAAAAAATTTACACTTATCTTGTTTCACTGTGAAACCTACAGCCTTGAGACGTGAACAAACTTCCCTTAGTCTACTTAAATGTACTTCGTCATTAGGTCCTGATACAATTATATCGTCCAAAAAACATTTCACACCTTGCAACCCTTGCAAAGCTTGTTCGATGACTCTTTGAAAGATACCTACTGCTGATGCTATGCCATAAGGCAATCTTTTGTACGCAAACAACCCCTTGTGTGTACTGATTGTACACAGCTTTTGTGATGACTCATCTAATCTTAACTGCATATAGGCTTGACTTAGATCGATCTTACTGAAAAATTCCCCTTTTTGTAGTTCTGTAAACAAATCTTCGACCCTAGGAATGGGGTACCTATCAATTTCTAATTGTGCGTTAACATGCCTAAAGTCCCCACAAATCCTAATGCTACCATCCTTTTTAGGAACTGGCACAATAGGCGATCCATACTCTGAACTGCAAACTGGGACTAAAATATCGGACTCCACCAAACGTTCTAGTTCTTTTTCTACCTTAGCCTTAAGGGTGTAGGGTAGTGATCTGGGTCGATGATATTTGGCAATGGCATTTTCTTTTACAACCAGCCTTACGGGCTTACAATTGCATTGCCCTAATTGATCTGAAAAAACTTCAGGAAACTCTTTTACTAGTTCTTTAACTAAACTTTCATGTTTACTCTTTGATTCACAACTACTTGTAGCGACAAATAATTCCTCATTATTTTTGAAAGAAATGTCTACCCCTAACTCCTTTATCCAGTCTCGTCCCATAAGGGGGTGAGCTCCGTCCTTAATTACGTACAAGTCTAAGGTCCTGCTTTTATCTCTGAACTGAACATTTACCTCTAGCTTACCCACAGGGTAAATTGGCACATTAGTGTACGAGCTTAACCTTATGTCAGTAGGAAACAATTTCAAAGTACTCAAATTATCTTTATAATAAGCCTCGCTTACTACAGTTACTGACGCACCCGTGTCAACTTCAAAAGTTACTGACTTGTTCTCAAGAATAACCTCTGTTTTGAAAGGATCAACCTTAGTTATTTTACTGGACCCTTCACTAATTCCAAACAGATTACCTATACTCTCCTCAATATCATCATTTACGCTTACATCATCAGATACCTCATCTACATAGTTATGCTGCTTATTTCTATTATATCTAAAATCACTCTTATTACTACGGAACTGAAACTGTGACTTACTGTTTTGCTGAGATCGACACACTTTTGCTAAATGATTTTTCTTACCGCACTTGTGACATGTCGAACCTTTAAAACGGCAATTCCTGCCGATGTGACCGAAGTCACCACAACAAAAACACTGCCACTGCACTCTATCATTTGACGTTGACGCCGACGCCGCTGCAGACGATGTTGGCTGTTGCTGTTGTCTACCTCTTCCGGTGTTGTGATGCGCTGAACCTCGTGGGTGGGGTTGCTGACCTGATGGGCGTGGTGAAGCTGAAGCTGATGCCGCCGCCATGCGTTGGATCCTCCCGCCGTGACCATCGCTGCTTCCAGCCGAAAGTGACGCCGCGCTCTTCTCCGCCATCTCGAACTGTGACGTCATCTGCACTGCCTTCTCGAATGTTAAATTTGATTCCGATAAAAGTCTCTGCTTCATTGAATCACTTCTGATGCCGCTAACCAGGCGATCTCGTAGATAGTCATTTAAATTCGCGCCAAATTCGCAATGTGTCGACAAATGCTTTAATTGCGCGATATACTGGGAAACACTCTCGTTTTCTAACTGATTTCTCAAGCTGAATCTATATCGTTCCGCAATGAAAGATGGGGTCGGGTACAAATGGTCTTTAATTAATTTCACTAATTCAGCGTACGATTTACTAGACGGTTTGTCTGGTGTACACAAATCTCGCAAAAGTTTAAACGTCTTTACACCAACTACTGTGAGTAACGTACTAACCTTTTTCGTTTCACTGACCTCATTACAACTTAAAAATAGTTCGAAACGTTCAATATACGAGTCCCACGTTTCCTCGTGTTGGTCGAACTCCCCGACGCTTCCTATAATTCCCGCCATTTTATGTCCGAACTTAAATCCTTCACTAAATAACTTCTCTATGTTCATTCCTTCCCCACACAAACTAACGAAAATCTTTTTATGGCGCTAAAACAAGCCATTTACATCACGCGTACAGTACCGGACGTAGACCGACGCTTCACTCCCGAACGTTAAAAACTGCTCCAATTGTCCTCGTCGCCACTGAAGTGTCGTCACCCTGACGTACCTTCGTTGACACGGTGCTATCCTATACACTGTAACTAAGTCACTACGTCACCCTGACGACTTACACTACGGGAATCGGGAAGTTAATAAGCACTACGGTTTAACACTGTAAAACTGCTAACGACCGAACGGGCCGGAGTTACTCAGGATGGAAGCTGGCTATAACTGAGGTGTAGAGGTGTCGGTTAACATGGACTCATGGGTTGGGGAAGTGGCGTGACCCGATCGTCCAATAGCATTCGTTTATTCAAATATTAACTGGTAGTGGGAAATACAAACGGTTACAGTTCAACGTACATATTTAAATATTGCCAACATAGCCTTGTAAATTATTAAATAGTAAAAACTGTTATATTACTTATATAAATATATTACACCTCTCTTTCAGCGTACGACTCAGTGAGTTCCAGTCCAATAATGGAATAATGTATTCGTTATACCTCAGAAAAAACCATTTTTGTTGGTAAGCTTGACATAGCCGGGTTTTTTCTAGACAGTTAGTTTATGTACTTCGCGTTCTAGTAGACGACATTATACTTCTAGAAAACCAGTACAGTATTTACTCTAGTAGCTCGCAAATTACTTGCGCATTTCTAACAAAAATGAAATTTACAAGTAATTTTCTTGCATATCTATTTTCAAATTTAAATATATTATTAGTTTTAGTTCTTGTACTAGGGTTGACTGTGGGACTGTGTAGGCATGATAACAGCACTTTTAAAATTTATGTAAGGGTTTTGATGTTTCATGGATATAAAAATACAGTTTCCTCACAATGAATACGTTAATTATCTTTCAAGCTTATTGCTTACAATCTTTGTTATGAATACATGAAATGGCCAAAAATATGCAGAACCAACAACAACATTACATAAAAGGTATTAACTCTTGCTAAGTATACACATTTGGGTATTTAACGATCTATATACCTCTTATTTGTAGCCAATTAGGGATAGCAGTGCTTATTATACAAAATAGCAGGATAAAATGTTTAGTCATACTGCATTAAAAACAGCAATTTTTAATGCATGCGTCATGGATCTAAAGTAGCAGTTTTACTCTCTAGGGAGTAAAAATCAGCTGTTGTAAACAGTTGTGAATTTCGATTGTGGCAATCGAAATTATTTATCGATTGATTTATTAGGTAAGGTGATGAACACATTCAATTGAATGTGATTGTTGTCAATCGCTCGACATATACAAATATACTGTAACACAATCGTAATAGACGAAATTATTGAATCACTTATATTACGAAAGAGCTGCTTATTTGCATTAGCAGAATTGAAAACATGCTGAAAGTCGTTTTGAGAGGTTATCTTTACATAAAAATTATTTCGTTTCCTAGCTTAGTCTGTTAATTAATGATGCAATATGATGAAAAATATAGTTCACCACATGGGCAAAACGTGTCCTTTTAACCCTCGCTCATTTTCTGATCGAGGCGAACTCGGGTCAAAATTATTAATCTCTAGGCCCTAGTGATGAAATACACTATTATGTATAGTATAATACGAAAACTAGTAAGTAAAAAGCTGATGGCCGAGAAGGTTTATTTACAAGGTTCAGTCGACCGGAGAACATCACGTGCCGTTGCTTGGCAACTCTGTAAAAACTATCTCGGAACCCGAGGCTTACTTCCACCTTGCAGCCTCTCGTTATGGGGATTACTCACTAATTAATGGGTGTTTTGTAGTTATTGATTTGGTTTTATTTCGATATTATTTTTATAAAGCTAAGTCGAGTTACCAATGTAGACAAGATAAAATCGAATATCGATGTAGAGGGATAAGGTATGATATACTGTTGTTGATAGTGAAACGTACGATCCGTGACTAGTGACAGTAAATCACACAGTTTCTATACAGCGGTACACGATAAGCTCAGTGTAGTGCTGGATAAGAGCCAGCCATGCAGCATCTCATATGTAGCCTACATAATAGTCTACACAACGATATAGAGGTATAAGGTATGATATACTGTTGTTGATAGTGAAACGTACGATCCGTGACTAGTGACAGTAAATCACACAGTTTCTATACCGCGGTACACGAGGGGCTCAGTGTAGTGCTGGATAAGAGCCAGCCATGCAACATCTCATATGTAGCCTACATAATAGTCTACACAAGGATATAGAGGGATAATGTATGATATACTGTTGTTGATAGTGAAACGTACGATCCGTGACTAGTGACAGTAAATCACACAGTTTCTATACCGCGGTACACGAGGGGCTCAGTGTAGTGCTGGATAAGAGCCAGCCATGCAACATCTCATATGTAGCCTACATAATAGTCTACACAAGGATATAGAGGGATAATGTATGATATACTGTTGTTGATAGTGAAACGTACGATCCGTGACTAGTGACAGTAAATCACACAGTTTCTATACCGCGGTACACGAGGGGCTCAGTGTAGTGCTGGATACGAGCCAGCCATGCAGCATCTCATATGTAGCCTACATAATAGTCTACACAAGGATATAGAGGGATAATGTATGATATACTGTTGTTGATAGTGAAACGTACGATCCATGACTAATGACAGTAAATCACACAGTTTCTATACCGCGGTACACGAGGGGCTCAGTGTAGTGCTGGATAAGAGCCAGCCATGCAACATCTCATATGTAGCCTACATAATAGTCTACACAAGGATATAGAGGGATAATGTATGATATACTGTTGTTGATAGTGAAACGTACGATCCGTGACTAGTGACAGTAAATCACACAGTTTCTATACCGCGGTACACGAGGGGCTCAGTGTAGTGCTGGATAAGAGCCAGCCATGCAACATCTCATATGTAGCCTACATAATAGTCTACACAAGGATATAGAGGGATAATGTATGATATACTGTTGTTGATAGTGAAACGTACGATCCGTGACTAGTGACAGTAAATCACACAGTTTCTATACCGCGGTACACGAGGGGCTCAGTGTAGTGCTGGATAAGAGCCAGCCATGCAACATCTCATATGTAGCCTACATAATAGTCTACACAACGATATAGAGGGATAATGTATGATATACTGTTGTTGATAGTGAAACGTACGATCCGTGACTAGTGACAGTAAATCACACAGTTTCTATACCGCGGTACACGAGGGGCTCAGTGTAGTGCTGGATAAGAGCCAGCCATGCAACATCTCATATGTAGCCTACATAATAGTCTACACAAGGATATAGAGGGATAATGTATGATATACTGTTGTTGATAGTGAAACGTACGATCCGTGACTAGTGACAGTAAATCACACAGTTTCTATACCGCGGTACACGAGGGGCTCAGTGTAGTGCTGGATATGAGCCAGCTATGCAGCATCTCATATGTAGCCTACATAATAGTCTACACAAGGATATACAGGGATAATGTATGATATACTGTTGTTGATAGTGAAACGTACAATCCATGACTAATGACAGTAAATCACACAGTTTCTATACCGCGGTACACGAGGGGCTCAGTGTAGTGCTGGATAAGAGCCAGCCATGCAACATCTCATATGTAGCCTACATAATAGTCTACACAAGGATATAGAGGGATAATGTATGATATACTGTTGTTGATAGTGAAACGTACGATCCATGACTAATGACAGTAAATCACACAGTTTCTATACCGCGGTACACGAGGGGCTCAGTGTAGTGCTGGATATGAGCCAGCTATGCAGCATCTCATATGTAGCCTACATAATAGTCTACACAAGGATATAGAGGGATAAGGTATGATATACTGTTGTTGATAGTGAAACGTACGATCCGTGACTAGTGACAGTAAAATCACACAGTTTCTATACCGCGGTACACGAGGGGCTCAGTGTAGTGCTGGATACGAGCCAGCCATGCAGCATCTCATATGTAGCCTACATAATAGTTTACACAAGGATATAGAGGGATAATGTATGATATACTGTTGTTGATAGTGAAACGTACGATCCATGACTAATGACAGTTGTAAAGAAAATGACAGTGGTAATTTGTGACTTTTTGTCTGACCGAGCGGAACATCACGACACGGTTTTTTCTGGTGTAGGACTTATTAATTCTTGTTTTTTCGAGCTGGCGTTTAATGATTCAATTGAAAATACCTTCACGACGACCCGCTATTCGCTAGAAACTGACATTTGCTATCGATATGATGCATGTACGAATTTTCATCACGAACGCGAACAATCAATCCGGCATCTCAACTGTCTCGACTTAATACTAATAAAACACACCCCCAAATGCAATTCGGCGAAATTTTGACAATTGCGATCGTTTGATGCACGTACAATTTCCGCCCGAACGCTAATTTCCGAGCTACGAATTAAGATATTAATAAATTCGTCCTACACCAGCGACAAAACGCGACTTCACATGTTGACTACGCGATTACTGAGCCACGAGTGACGACGAGACGTTTGCACGCGACACGGTTCGAGTGTAGTATTTCTCCGCGTTACGTCATGTTGGACTGACTTGTCCATTGCCTGGCGCGGATTTTAAATCTTTGAATTTAAAATCGGCACAGAAATCTCCCCTGCCAAAAGAAATTGGCCCGAGCGACCTTCAGGTCCGCACGAAGGCCTTTTCCATCCCGGGACAATTTCGACCCGCTTGACGTGGCAACAGACGCTTCATTCATACGACACATTTTTTTGTTGATTTTTTTTCCATTGATTTACATTTAATACATTTAACACGAAACAATTTTACACATAAACATTTGAAATTTGAATAACAAAAATAGAAAATCTGAAACTTTAACAATAATAAACATTTTGCTTTGAGGTCGGTACTGAGAAATTAAAAATTGTTGTCAACTAACACCTTGTGTCATAAACCAAAACTGCATCAATCCATCAACAATTTGAATGGTGTAAACGCGCACGCTTAACACACTGTAGAATTATCTAGCATTCAGCGTTGAGTAGATGTCAACAATCAGTTCATTGACCCGTAGCGCAGTCGACAGTCAGCTGTTGCCGATGGAGTGGGCGGGGGCGGGGGACATTGTTGTGGTGAACGGCCCGATGTCTGCCTGTCTGTGCGGGTAGGTTCTACCATTGACTATATAACCACAAATAGACTTCCCGAGTCCATAGTAGCAGTTGAAGCCAGGAAATTTCGCTGCGCGCGCAGCGCGCCTAGCGAATGTGGCTGGAATGTTGAAAGAATGTTATCGCTTGCTCTCTATGTTGTGGCGCTGTGTGGTTGCCAACACGAGAACTACTAACTCTACCGACAGCTGCGTCGTTCAACAATGCTTGTTATCAGAGCAGGCGCGTATAGTTATTAATGTCGAGTTTATTGATCCACGACTAGGGCAAGGCTTGCTGTAATACCCGTACTTTACAAATGTAGTTGTGTTTGTTTTTTCTATTATTTTTAATAATGTGATTAGTTACGACTATTGTTAATGGCGCCAAAATAGAATTTAAACGGAAACAGATAAATTATAATTTTAGGGCATTTTATTTTACGTACAGAGTGAAACATGAGTATTCTACATAAACTTTTAAAATAATTTCTATGTTAAACTATTAAATTCCACTATCACGACATTAATTTATTGGGTCATTTTTTAAATAGTTTGTAATAAAATTAACTATTTGGTTGAAAATACCGGCCTATTTAAAATTATGTCGGTGTTTACACTCATTACCCATTCTTAGTCCTTAATTAGCTTTAAGATCAAGATTTAATTTAACGGAAGGCTTTCGACCAACGTAGATTTACACACGTTCAAGCTGTGACATGAGTACAGGTGTGTTCTTAATAACAATAATAAAACGAACAGTAAAAAAACGCTATTAAAGAATCTACAAGACTCGTGGAACTCACGATTTACTCAGGTTCGCATTGCCGTTAGATTCAATGCGGTTGGTAACGAGACATAGTTATTGGCTAAAGTTATTGCATTATTGTATTCTTGTTATTGTATCTTATTCTATAATTATTCAATATTCATTAGGGTGTCGGGGGAAGATTTGATTACGCCATCAAACTCATGCATTTACATATAAAATATTCCCCAATATAGGCCTACGTTAGATTGTCCCATTTAATGATTAAGGTTTTGTTTCAACGTTTCAAGCGATAGCTGTTTACTAGTCAAAGACATTGTTTACAAAAAAAAGAAAGAAAAAATCAAGATTGCAGCGAACAGGTATGTTTTGAATATGAAATAAGATAGACCTTTTGTGTGTAATTTTACTTTAAAACACCCTAATTTTAACATGTTTCCCATATCTTCTTCCCCATCTTGAACATTTTTTGTGGTGTTGAGTAGACGTGTCTACCCATTCTACATTCATTCGAGCCTTTTAGCACGTTTTATTGCCCGCGCCCAGCTACCCCTAGTTGTAGTGCGGAGAGCGATGTGTGCGGGTGACTTTAACGATTCCAGTTTGTTATTTTGTTAAACATATGCTTAGAATATTCATATTAGCAGCAAGTGTTTCTTTAGGTTTTATTATTAGTAATCGTTAGTGTGATGTGATATATTATTGTGAGTATTTCCGTAGAACTGTGAACAATGGAAAATCCTAATTCCAACAAAAGACCACATAGATGTTGTTTTGCTGGCTGCAGCAACACGAAAGGTCGCAATCCTTCCCTGCGTTTTTTCACATTTTCTATTAAAAGGGCAGAAATTTGTGAACAATGGATTGTTAACTGTGCAAATGACACCCTATCATGCTTGGCTCCTACAACGCTAAACCGCAAAGTGGTGTGTGAACTGCACTTTACAGACGAATGTTTTACAAGTTCCTTAAAAACTAAGTTAAATCAAAACGCTGTTCCGACCAAGCTCTCGCTATCTCTCGACAGTCCACAAACCCCCGCACAAGCATCCAGTGACACATCACAGTTGGCTGCGACAGCGAGTCAACCATCAACTTCCCGTAGATCACTCTTCACTACCCCAACGACATCAACAACAGTTACATCAGACGAGCCTCCCGTAGAAGTAAGCCCCATCACAACACCACTTTTCAAAAAGCATAAACCAATTAAAGGACGCAAGCCAACTCCAGGTAAAATGACCCCCAATAAAAGGCGAATGTACAGAAAACTTCAAAGTCAGATAAAACTTAGAAAAATGTATCAACAAGCTGGCAGACGTTTGAAAGGTAAAAAACCGAACATAAGCAAATCTGAGCTACTCGAAGCCATCAAAGGTTATTTGCCGGAAAAGGTTTCTGATTTTTTTGCTATGCAGCTAAACCACTGCAATCAGACAACAAAGCCATATACGGACAAAGAGAAACAGCAAGCTCTTTCGTAAAGGTATGTAATCTAAGCTAATTACATTACATACTTACAACATAATATAATATTAATTGTAATATGATTAGATAATATTTGGTTAATTGTGTCATTCTTAGCAAAAATGTTGGAAAATTCAAACAAATTATTAATTTCAAAATATTGGTGGTTCAAAATAAACACATCATAACGGTTATAACAAAAGCCATGAGTCAACTATCGAAGTCGAAGACAGTATATATATTTAAGTACTAAACTGCTTTATTAAGAAGAGATACTTTTTTTTAATTAAACTGTACTACATTAATCACAATTTTTGTTATTATAAATTGATATAATTTATGAGGTGACCCGTGCGCAAATTGTACATTTTATTGGGTAAAAAATCTTTTCCGAGGCAAAACAAATGTAATCCAATGCACTTATTATTTAAAAATTATGTTTGTTTAAGACAGTTAAGTTTCACTGAATTAATTATTTACCTATATTTTCGAACTATAACATAAAGAGGGATTTAACTACTTCAATTAGGTTACAATTAATTACTGTAGCCTTTTTACACTCAATATAAACGGTTTGGTCTCGTTGTTTTACAATATCACTATGGTTAACATTTCAATTCGATGATCTGGTCGATAATAACAGCAATCCTTTAAGTAGAACTACTAAAAAAGAACTCCTTAAGAGAAACTCCTTACTAGTACAAAAATGAAAAATATAAGCTGAGTAATTGTGGGCCGAATTATTTGAATAACTTCTTGATCAGCATCGTACGTTTTATTAAATTTACGGAAAGTAAATAAAGAAACGTCTTATAACGATTGAAACATATATTTACGCTTATACTGTTACTCACAAGACGGTAAATAAACCACATTTTTTGTATATTTACCGTCTTGTGAGTAACAGTATAAGCGTAAATATATGTTTCAAGCGTTATAAGACGTTTTTTATTTACTTTCCGAGAATTATTTGATTACGTTTGGCATGAGTATGCAGTGCTGGCCAAACTTAAATAACTTTTGAAACAATTTTTTATAGTTTAAAAACGTACATTTGATGTCAATCAATATTTTTTGTACGCTTATTATATGTTTACGGAGGAAATATAAAAATGAACATTTAAAATTGTCATGTTAATGTTTATCCTTATTGTTATATATACTAAATTATTATATAATATATAATATAATATATAATATATAATATAATATATAATATAATATATAATATATAATATAATATATAATATATAATATATAATATATAATATAATATATAATATATAATATAATATATAATATATAATATATAAATAATGGGGGGCCACCAGTTGACGACAAGATACTTGGTCGTCTTGCCACTAGACCGTCTTTTTTAATTAAATAGATAAATACTGAAAACCAGTACGTCGACAAGTTATTTCATCGTCAGTCCAGTTGACCGGCCTGTAAATCTAAATTATTATATACGAGAAACCAACTTGTCGTCAATCCTCCCGACCGACTTACCACTTGCTCGTCTTTTAGGTGGGGATGTGTTGAGCGGCAGTGCCAGCGGCGCGCGCAGCTGTGGAGGGCACTGCAGGCGTACCAACTTCTGTATCTTGTAGCGGCGGTTTTCATTCCGACGATTTTCAGCTATCACAATGCAGCGGACTAGCGAGGTTCTTATTACGTGTAATTGTTTGTTTCTCAATCGATATTTTGTTATACACAGTACAGTGAATATAAATAGGCCTATATTAGTTTACTTCAATGAAATAAATGTTTTATTTAGCTAAATAAATAAAAATACGCCGATTGAACAAATAAAATTGTTACAGACAACAGGAAGTCCTTAATATGATCAAAAAAGTGTTTATCTTTATTAAAAAATTACTGAAATTTGTAAACTTACTGCTGGCGACAAGGGTGGTGCCATACATAGGTTTATCAATAAATAAGATAAACATGGACAACCTTATGCAGCTATAAGTCAGGAAACATTTGTAGAAACATTAAAAAGCAATACCAATTTATGAAATATGATAAAATATTTACAGGAAATGTTGATTACTGTATATACATCGTGAGTATCTCCAGCAGTTACACACTGGTGATCTTTGAGTTGACTCTTTTAAACTCGATTGATTATTACTTTTTTTCGTTTTGAAATAAATTCTGTATTACTTTGAAATTGCTCGAATTCGAGCAACATGTACACGAGTTTGAATATTAAATTAACTAACATATTTATGTAATAGGAGGGTCAAATATTGTTAACAGTGGTGAGGTAACTACCGTTACATTTATTCAATTGAGAGATAAATACAAATTGATAATACCGGTTATTTAAAGCTTTGTTGTCTATTTTTCCCTCTCTTAAAAAAATAAAATAAAGAATGAATTTAGACTTTTGGTGACATTAGTTTGTACTATTTCTCCTTAAATGACACTGCTGTCTTGGTAAGCAATAGTTATCTCGGTAAACTATTTATTTGCTGAAGTGCACAGTGTGCTACTTAGCCTGAGAAACATCTTTTGTTTTATGATTTTGTTGTAGGCCTATTGAAAACCTTGTCTAGAAGGAATTCCCATTGCCTGTGTTACCGGGGAGAAGTTTTTCTTAGTAAAGTCTGTAGACGTCTTCGGTTTTACACAGAAACATGTAATTATAATTGAAGAAGTACATGTTTTATCCTCTCACGTTGTTGCGTGGACAATACTATGGTGATTCAATTCTGTGTACTTCAATTGTCTAACTGGCCCTAACTGACGCATCCTTGTTTTTTTTTACTAAATAATGTAGTCTTTACTTCCGTGGATCTTTGCGTTTTATTGTTTAACTGTCCTCAAGTAAGTCTGTGTTCTGAGTAAGTACTTCAAATGCACGGCACTACTGTATATTCAGATTTTCTAATGAACTATCATAGATAAAAAGGAGTATAGACATGTATGTATGACAGAGTATGTCTACTCCTTTTATCTATGGTACTATTTCCAAGTTCATCTGGACGACCCTGCAAATCGTTTCTATTAAAAAAAATTGTATTTGGTTTATGTTTATGAACTTGTATGAGTGTTGTTAACTAAAGCTAAATTCACATCAAATTAATTAATTTAATTTATTTTAATATTATTTCTAATTAATTTCAGTTTTAAGAACATATCTATACTATTATATAAAAATCTAATGGTGTCTGTCTGTATGTGTGTTACTAATAGGTGCAAAAACTACTGAACCAACTGAGCTTAAATTTTACAAAAATATAGCTACCATACCAAGGACCATTATAGGACTATTCAGATTTCTATACTGACCGTAGGCTTTGCCCCTTTTGCTTTAAAAGTTCTGAGGTGAACATTTTAAAAGTAAATATTGATTGGTCTCCATGGCTGCGATGAGAACACTAACAATGTTTGTTTACATTTGCTTTGGCATTTAAGTAAACAAGAAGAACTGCTAAACTGCATATTTTACAATTTCAGACAGCTGATACAAAGAAATTAAACATAATATTTTCCATAACTATGAGGTTGGTTTATTCCAATTTAATCTTTTATCATGGATTATTTATTCTAAAACTATTTCAATGATTATAGAAAAAAAAGATTCTAAAACCGTTGCTGTATCAACTCCGGCTCTGCTTTGGATTTTTTGAAGTGTCCAAGTTATGAAAATAATGTTATTGATATGTCTTCATGGAAACAGTATGAAAATTACAATGTATAGATGTTTTGTATGAAATTGGAGGCTACTTTAAATAAATTCTAACTGCTTAACATGTGTTAGATTAACTTAACATAACTTGCACATCACGTTGTTTTTATATGTATATTTAGGTAAATTAAGTTATTGTGTTTTCCTAAACCTATGCTTAAATTAAACTAAAGAATATCATCAATGACTAAACTGTACGTCGTTGATTTTTGTTTTCTAAAAATCGGTTGTATAGGCTATGTGTAACTATATTTAATCATCAAATGGTAATACAAAATGCTCTTATTTTATCTTAACATAGCTTTCAGTCAACATTTACTTTATTTGATACATTTATTATTTCTGTTTTGCCACACCACTGATTAAATTAAACCAAGGAAAATATCATAAAACTAAGCAGTACACAGTGTTCTTTTCTTTCTAAAATCAATGAAATATCTGTTACTATGTTTACTTAATGGTAAGTGTGGAAATGTAAAGGCAATAAACGATGGAACTGATGAAAAGAACTGGTTTGTATATTAAGTTGTTTGTTGATATTTTTGTAGAGTAGAATCAGAGATGCAATGAAGCATATACTGTATTTGCTATTACATTTTTTAGTCCTCGATGCTTTGATAATCATATTAGTTTTGTCTGCTGTATTATTTGTATTAGCTTTAATGCTAAATTATTTGTTTAACATTTTTTATAGTACCTATAGATATATTTTCTTTAATATTTCAAAAGACTGTAAGGCACAGCAATATTTCTAAAGTTTATAACAGCTGACTTGGTTTTGCTAATGATTTATTGTGAGTGAAGAAACTGAAGATGGAAGGATTTGTGATAAATGTTCATTTATATTTAATAATAAGTATTTTTGCAACTTCAAAATTGAAATTTAAAACGTCAATAATAAATTAAAAGATATGTTACTAAGGGAGATGAAGGTAAATCATGTATTTCAAAGTTTTATTCAAAGATTTAGTCAGTTTTTCTTATATCAGCCTACACAAGATTTAAAATTAATCGAAACCAAAATGGTGGTATCCACTACTTACCAGATTTAAAAGTCATAACTTAAACGTTTCTATTAAGGCCATAAAAGTTGAATTTAGTTTCTAAAAGCGTTGGCGGATGTGTAACTATTATATGCAACAGATGTAAAGATTAAAATGTTTCTATTTTGTGTCCTTTTCCCTGAAAGAATATTACCTTGACCGGATGGCCGTGGCTTGGCGGGATGGCGTGCGTTAGGCCTAGATGCAGTAGAGGGTGTATGTGTGTGTGACTGTATGTTAGGGAAGATGAATAGATTTATGCTATTTTATTACT